CCGGCGACCTTCCGGTTACAGATACGCTTCCCAACCCCCTGAGCCACGGCCGCCCCAGCAGCTCTTCAGTGTTTGATGGACACGCAGCACTTTATATTAAACAGATATCTAGTTTATCACACACTGCTGTAAGAAATATATGATTATTCTTAATAAATGATCATCTGTTTAAAATTGTCCATGAAGAAAGAAGCAACAGTTCAAATGTGGTCCACACAGCACCTCTGTACACAAACATGAAATGAGCCTGCAGGTTTGAATCTGGTTCTTCTCTGGTGTTCATGCAGACAGCTGTGCAGGAAATAACCATCTGTACTAACACACACACTCTTTGTACTCAGCATTTGAATATGAACTAACAGTTTTTACCCCTGACACAAAGACACACTGTTAATATGAGTTATATACAGACTCATTTACATATTGCTTTGGAAAGAAGAAAGAAGAAACACTGGACTGTCCAACAAGCAGAAAGAGGAAGTTTCTAATATCCAAATATGACAGCAGAGGTGCACATGGACAGAAACGTGAATATGAGTCTGTTGATTTTTGAGAATATAATCATAATGCTGCCTGTACTGATCAATATCGCTGGATTGCTCTGACGCTGACATGATCTTAAAAACCTATCAAAGACTTTTGTGTGCACTGACGCAGCAGTCACGTCTTCAAGCTCACCCTCCAAATTCACATATTACCAGGTTGTCATCCATCGTCGAGCTTGTAGAGCTCAATAAATGTCTGTCAGTGCTGAGTGTTTAAAACGTGACTCATTCCTCTGGATATGCAATTGCAATTGTTTTTAATATGGCACCAGTTTTGACAAACTGCAGATGATGAAATCCACTTTATTCTGTTCATAATTACTGAGCTATTTCTTTACTATGTCAATAAACTATTTGAACAAGAACACTACACTGTAGATGTAAAGATGTCATGGTCTGCGGTGGGCAGAAAGAGGAAGTTTCTAATATCCAAATATGGCAGCAGAGGTGCACATGGACAAGTCACTACTCTGTGACAGAAACATGAATACGAGTCTGTTGATTTTTGAAAATATAAACATAACGCTGCCTGTACTGATCAATAT